AGCTCATTGCTGACACCTGCCCAACTCTAGTCAGAGCTTGCTCAAAGGGGCAGCCAGAAAGAGGGGTAGAAGCCTTGCCATGTTATGAGAGACTAAAGAGATACAAAAGTGAGACCAACAAAAATGTCAGGCTGTATTTAAATAGGACATGTTATCAGGATGGTCCAGTCCCTGGAGAAGGACATCATGCTTGGTAAAGTAGAAGGTCAGGGAAAAAGAGGAAGACCCTCAACGAGATGGACTGACACAGTGGCTGCAGCAGTAGGCTCAAGCATAACAACAATTGTGAGGATGGCACAGGACCAGGCAGTGTTTCCTGCTGTTGTATGTAGGGGTTGCTATGAGTCAGAACCAACTCGACCGGCACCTAACGACAACAACACATTTGAACAAGTTCTAAAATTTGTAATGACCCCTTCTTTACCAATGTTTTTTTTTTTTTTCATTATGTATTTTTGGTAATTTTTTTCCCTGTAGGATTACATTTTCCATTTATTTTGTAAGTCAATGGGAAATTGTATTACATATTTAAAATGTTTATTTACATACAATTTATTAAGAAAAACCAGTTTAATCAGTTGAGACGTTGCAATCATCTCCACGGCAGCGGGTTTGGTTTGGGTTTTATATCCTTAGAGTAACAATTATACTTAAGGAAAGCCATAATATCAGGGTTTGAATAACGGCGAACGAAGTGTATAACTTGTAATGAAAAGACTTTATTTGATGTTAGACCATTGAGTATTTTTAAAGGGAAATTGTATGTATTCAGTAGCATATAAACTAAGCAACTTCAAATTTTGTTATTTTGATAGAAGAAAACTACGCATACAGTACTAAAGGCTCATTAAAATAAGTTCTCAGTGATATGTTTTCTTTGTAATTTAAGTTGCTAGTAATTAATGCACATGTAATATCTTCGTTAGTGTGATGGAAGAATCAGAGGACCTCAAAATTACGAGCTTTTTGCATCTGCTCTCGTTCTAGTCCTTACTTTATAGTACATTGTATTCCCCAGGCAGCCACGTATTCCTGGAACCGAGTTCATTTTGAAGTTGTACTTCTTATTGAAAAAGCACACTACTGAAATATGTTTGGTGAGCTATAAAATCAAGACTACCATATCAAACAAATTATCTTAGGAAAGCTATTAAAACAGAGTGCCTTTCACACTGTTGCAGCATCTGAAGGGGAAAAAAAAGCACGTCACTGTTATTGTCTCTGTTTTGTGCTTTTATGCCATTATTCCCAATATGGTTCTAGTGTCTACACCTGGTTTGCAACTTGAAGTAGTTAGCTTTATATTAATATTTTATTACCTCTCGAATTTAGTTTTTCAACGAGAAATACTGTTATTTTTTCCAAACTCTGACCATGTATCACATAGTGAAGTGGATGGATATTTACAGGGCCAGGAAATTTGTCTTGTGTAACAGCCCAAATTGGAACATTTGAGCCAAAAAAATTATCCATATTTGGACATGAATTGTGTGGACTGACTGCCTACAATGTTCAAATTAGCTGGGAAGCTTCCAGTTCTCTCAGTCTAACTCTATAGAGGCCTGGTCAGGACAGATTTACAAACAATAGATTAAAAAGACCTTTTCAGTCCTTCTTCACAGCTTTCCTGGTTTTGTTGTTTCAAGGTAATTTCAACACTCAGTAGCTAAGCCATTCCATTTTAATATATTTTTTCCTGATAGCATATGTATTCGGAATATTCCATTAACCACTCACTCCTACATACTTGACTAATGATTTTTAATTGCTTTCTCACACACACTTACATACACACAATAGAAAGGATATTTACTTCACGTGAGGTTGCCTGTGTTTCTGTGGAGCCTTTAAACCCTTTTAATTCTCCGATTATGTATTGGAAAGAATGGAGGGACTCTATTTTGAATATATTGCCTTGCATTTTTATTCCTGTGTATGAATTACAATATAACCTACTCTATAAACCTTCCAGGCATATTTAATATTTATTCTGTGTGATTAATCCTTTTAGGCTCTTCACATCTACATGCCTTTATTATTATATATGAAGCTCAATTCTTCTCTGAAAAAGTCACTGGCCCCTTAGTTCCTGTGACTTGGCTTTGCATTGTTACAGGCAGGTAAAAAAGATTATAAAACTCTGGTCTAACTAAAATGTGACATTCTATCACTTTTACTTAAAAAACGGGCATTTTGCAGGTAAACATAATTGTGAGTAGTTTTT